GAACAATCCAAACGCTAGGAGTCATGTCTAAAAATCTTATATTTATTGGTAAGTTGGTAAACTTTTGTGTCTACTGATCTAATGACCTGAAGTGGGCACCAAAGTATTGCATGGCTGGGGATGTAAAAAACCATGTGCTGTGAGGTGTGCCTGCAGAATGTTGAGCAGGAAATACCATTCAGTGCTTATTTGTCTCTCTAAGAATAGCAGGTTTACAAGACTAAAAGAGGCTTAAGATGAGGTGGGTAAGACTCTATCTAAGGTAAAGGTGACAATGACAATTTTAGTGATGTATTTTTTTCTGAAGTACTGAAAACTTGTTTAATAAAATTGCTAAGATAAGGTATAAAATCGAAAGCTAAAATAGGCTTTGTTTTAAATTTCTAAGCACAGAATTGCAGGGTTTGTGTTATGAATGCTTCATATTGATATGCTGTATCTTTGGAAAAGTCTTAGAGTCCTATCACATTGTTGGTATGTTTTAGTCTAAGAAATGAGTTATTTGTGGTAATTGTGTTACTTGAGCATTTTTATTGTGTACTTTAATACTGGTTCTCACTTTTGGCCCATTTCTTGGGTTTCATTTCAGAAGCCACTAATGATTCAGCAGTAGATGATGTGGTTGAAAATCATGTTGCAGACCAACTTTCATCAGACATGACACCAAATACTATGGATACTGAATTTCTAACATCTCCAGCCAATCTTCTGGAACCATCAACCAATCATACAGAAGCCCTTGGTCATGAACATTTAGGAAATAATGACCTCACTGTTGGTGGATTTTTAGAAAATCATGATGAGCCAAGAAATAAAGAACAAAGTGCTGAAGAGAGTATACCAGCATCTTCACTCAGCAAGGGAAAGAAATCAGTGCATTGCAGAAGCCATGAAGAGGTCAACACTGAACTAAAAGCACAAATTATGAAAGAGATCCGAAAGCCAGGAAGAAGTATGTAGAATTAGTTGATTTCTTTATGTGTTCCAGTAAGCAAAAGCAAGTCAAATTCACGAAAGCATATATTTGATTCTAGATTAGTCTTAAAGTACTATCTGAATTCTGTAAGATTTAAGTTTTTATTTAGCTGGAAAACACTGAATAATTTTGGTACTCATGGTACTCCAGTATGGTAGACAGCAGGGAATCCAGCTAAAAAAGACTATAGAGATGGAGTAGCTGCCATGACAGGGACCCAGAGTCGTGACAAATCTTAGAACAGGTAACCCAAACAGATGGGTGAATACTACTAAATGCTTGAGTGTCGAGTTGACAGGGTGTCTTAACAAGTAGGGTAGCCATATAGCCCAAAATTCAGTTCTCTGCAAGTCCCCTTCAAAACCTGTGTGTTTGTCAAGTTTCTCTCTACCACCCATCATCATGCATGAATTATGATAGCTACCTGGATGTGCTTTAGCCCCAAACCAAAGTCATTAAGACTGTCGTGCAAGAGAACTCTCTGGGCACAAGAACTGAGTCGTACTGGCTTCTGTTCAGGATATACCATTGTGATGGTATAGGGAAATGTCGTAGAAGGGTATTCAGGAAGTTGTAGACTCTGGGATGGAGTTAGATGTAGAAACTTGGAACCTTTTAGGGTTTTCTCCTTCTGATGTGTTAAGAGTTATAATTTAAATGATAAAGACTGATTGCCTGTTTCTCTGGGTGACTGCAGAGCTCTTTAATTCACCTTTAGGCTGGCTGCTGTCTTATACTGGGAACTTTTGGGGGTGGGCAACAAAAAGGTGCTTGGAAAGTTGTTTAATTTTTGGCGATGCATACTTCCATGCACACATCTAACAAGTAGGGCACCTGTTAACAGTGGTAACATTTTTGTGGGGAATACTTTTGTCTGAGTATATCTCAGTGCAAAAAAGCTGCAGGAGAAACACTGAGAATACAAATAAAAGCCAGTTAATTGCTTTTCCTTCTCTTGTTTTAAGAATATGAAAGAATCTTCACTTTACTGAAGCATGTGCAAGGCAGTTTACAAACAAGACTAATATTTTTACAGAATGTCATTAAGGAAGCATCCAGGTAAAGAAGCTTGTTTGTTAGTGAACACTAATGAATGTGTTTCAGTCTGTATATGTTTGAATGGCACTTGTTATGTACTTGGGTTTATGCATGCATTTAGTTCATTGAAATGTGTGAGATTTCTCCCTCACCTCTTCCCCCTTTTAGCAAATTCAAAGTTGTTCATTGAAATAGACACATAAACCCTTAAGGGATTATGGTTCTTTCCTTTGTAAATTATTATATTATTTTAAAATTGAATCAGTTTACAAGTAAGAAAGAAGTAGGAACAGATCATCTAGTATTTTAAGATATTTAAAAAAACACCAGTGATAGTAATAATTTTGTGTATATAATTTTCACCTACTTATATTTAGTACAGAAAAACATTTCTTGCTGTATATTTGTGTTGTAGATACCTTATTACACTTGATGCCCCTACTCCTCAAATTGTAGTAGAACACTGTGATTTTTAAATGCTACTACCAGTTTTCATTTCCATTTTGTAGGAACTTGCATTTCTTCCTTGTATTTATTTTTTTTAACACTCAGTTTTCAAAACGGACTAAATGGTATTACAGTAATTACTTTGGGATCTTTTACTATAATGTTTAGAATCCTTGTATATATTAGTATTTTTCTCCTTTTTATTTTCCTTTTTGGTGGTAGGAAGAATGACCACTGTAACATTGTTCCTAGGACTAGATTCATTCTTTTAAGAGAAAACTGTAATTTTGTTCTGGTATGAAGAATAATTTACAAATCTCTCATCAAGTTTTTACCACTTTATTTTGTATGTTTGGTACATATGTGGAGGTCAGAGGACAACTTTTAGGAGTCGAGATTGAATACTCAAGTCATCACGGTTCAGGGTTGGCTGTGTGGCTTGCTAGTCCCCAATAATTTTTTTTTTTTTTGTCTTTGGGGAGGTGGGGTTGGAGACAGAGTTTCTCTGTGTTCTGGAACTCATTCTGTAGACCATGCTGGCCTCGAACTCACAGATATCCACCTACCACTGACTCCCGAGTGCTGGGATTAAATGCATGCACCACGACCACCTTGCACTCAACAAATTTTTTAGAAAGTATTTTCTTTGTGAGATTATAATATTATGAGATGTCCCTCTTTTTCCTCTCTAGAACCTCTCATATACTCTCCTTGCTTGCTTTCAAATCCGTAGCCTCTTGTACCATTAGCTGTTGTTACATACATATATCTGTGTGTATTTGTTTATATATTTTTTTCTTAAGTATATAAATATAATCTGCTTGATCTGTATAATGTTACTTGTATGTATGTTTTCAGGGCTGTGCATTTGTTACTGCATCACCAGTTGGTGTACTCTTGCCCGAGGAAGACATATTTCTCCCGCTCTCAGCATTCCTCAGTTGCCTAATTAGTTCTTTGTATAGGGTGGAGGTCTCATGAGTTGTGTTGGATTTCATTTTCATTCTACTTGAAAATAATCTTTCCCAAAATCATTTTTTTTCTTGATACATGCTAGTTTATGTATGCTGTCCATTAAGAAGTAATTGAGAATCCTCTTATTTTTCTCACACAGGTTTAAAAAACGAATGCTAATAGAACAGCTGGAGAACTTCTTGGATGAAATTCACCGAAGAGCCAATCAAATCAACCACATTAATAGCAATTAATTAAAAGAAAATAGAATGTGGCCACTTATTTCACTGTCTTCTCCAAATACAAAGTAAATACAAGACTGATGTAATCTTGCATTCATTCTTTGACATGCATTGTTGGCTATTTGAAATACTAAAACAGTCTACAGATCCTCTCCATCATTTTACAGTGACCTTTTCATTTTGGTTTATTTTTGTAATGTGAAAAGTATCACTAATTTTTTTTTAATTTAACAAACTAAAACTATTCTCCAAATCCTCTGCTTGTCATTGGCTCTTGCGTGTCAGTTTCCCTCAGGTTATATTTTCTTAAACCAACCTTTAAAATTGTCAGCTCTGTTAAGGTTGAACTTTGCCAAAAAAAAAAAAAAAAAAAGAAATGAAAAAAATTTAAAAAGAAGTTACTTTGTAATTTTTGGGGAAAAAAGCACATACATTAAGAACTAGGTAATGTTTTGTATATACAGTTATTTTGGATATATTATTGTAAGTTGTACAAATGTATTTTGAAGAATATTTAAGAAAAGCACTTTTGTTATTCCATCAATAAATGCTCTATTTTACTCTTGTGTGGTTTAGGAAATAATCACATTTAAAGTAACTACTTAGAAACATTCTAAGGCAATGGAATTTTAAAGGCCTTGCTTTTTAGCATTGAAAAATACACAACTTAATATTTGTTAAACTATTGTAATTATATGTTACATAACCCGCATTGTCTTTTTTACTATATGTTCTTAGTTTTTGTTGGCCATGCCAACATTCTCCACTCTGACTTAGATAATGGGAATGGTTATACCTGTGGCTGACAGACAGATGCATTTAAAAAACAACTTTAAGAGTAGATTACTTGAGGTATTACTGGTTTCTTCGCACCCTTCAACCTTTCGCACAGAGTTTGGATGACACTCAAGTCTAGCCACTAGTTAGGATGTGGGAGGTTTAGGGTATGCCACATTCTGAAATGTCTAGTATGTAGTAATTTGGTCCCATGGCATGCTTACGTGAGTCTGTGACATGATTCAGAGGGGATCTCTTGGTTCTGACACTGAGGCTGTTATTTAGAAGATGGCTGTGTTCATTTTTTCCTCACTGATTTGCACAGGATAAGGATACCTGGCACTTCCATTTTCCATCCTCACAGGACCACACACCGTAGAAAGGATGTGACCTTGTGTCCTGACTCATGCACACCTTCGTCAGTCACTGCTGTGCCTTTTAGTGGTTTGGAGGATCCAATAGAAAAGATTAGGGTTTTTAGATTTGGAATAATTATGGGGAAAATACTTCCAAAATTATTTTTTTAATTGAATTATTTTTAGATTAATAATATTTGGAAATCACATACCTTTAAAAGAAATTATAAATATTTATGAAGGAAAGCATACGTAGAACATTCTTGAGATTTGCTATTTTAGTCAAGGGGATTTGAAACTCTCCCAATATTGAAGACAAACCCTGAAAAATAAAAAGAAGCATTTAATTTGACTTGTAGTATTTTCATATAACAATTCATTAAAACTATCTTACCTCTTCAAAATACCTGGAAGTAATTGAAGGTATAATTTAGAGATGGAATTGTTGAGGTGATTCCGTGTAGTAGGAACTATACAAAATCCAGATTGACCTTTGGTTGAGAATTTGATGAGTTAAGAGTGAGATCAGTGCGAATACTGGAGTCATTTAGATAGGAGTTATACTTAAGTTGGAGCACCTGGGGAGCTGTCCTTGGAAGGGTCCTCATGTCACAGGCTGCTGGTGGAAAAATGCTCAGATCTTCTGCCTTTACTACATTATCCATTGTGAACCCTCAAGGGAGTAGTAAAATACCAGATTCTTCTGTCTCTGCTCACCCCCCCCCCCATCTGTCTGGCATCATAATCTTTACATACTAATACTAAAACTTAGTCTCAAAGTTTGCCACCTATCAAAACTAAAGCTTAAAATTCCATCTCAGGCCTTCACCTTTTTGAAAATGGTGGGCAAGTTATTAAACTAGTGAAATTTCTACAGAATCCTTGTCAGCAAAGGTAAGGGTGGGGGGTATATTGTGGGGGCCAGTATTTTTTAGTCTTTGAGGTCATAGAATGATGCTATGCTGGACAAGTGGTACTTTCCAAAAGGTTGGTATTAGAGTTTAAAGGTAATTTTTCTTAGCGTTCTCCTATTTGTTGATTGATTGGTTAATTGGTTATATCAACCTAAGATTTGTAAACTCTAACAGTGAAGGCTGAGGGTTTTTTTTTTTTAAGATTATTTTTTATTTTATGTCTTCAGTGTTTTGCCTACATGTATGTAAGTGCACCACATATATGCCTGGTGTCTGGAAGCCAAAAAAGAAGAAAGTGTTAGATCCCCTGAACTGGAGTTACAGACTGTTGTGAGTTTCCATGTGGGTGCTGGGACCCGAGCCTTTATAAGTGAAGAAAATTCTCTTAATAACTGAGCTGTCTTCCAGCCCCAGCTGAAACCTTATAATTCCTTCAGTAATGTCATCAGAACAGCCACCTTCTGGAAAGAAAAAGCCACAGGGACTAAGATTTGTGGTGAATTAGGGAACTAATTAGACCTGTATTTTCATTTTGATTAGTAGTTAAAATTTATACCACTGAAATTGTGTCTTTTCTAGTCCAACAACTTTACATGGTTTTTATACAGTTGAATTTCAGGAATCTGTTATTTGTCATCTTATTGTTCTTTTTATTGGATATGAGCTTTTGCAGTGGCCCTTTTGTTCAAGCTTAGTCCTCCCTCTTGGTTTGAGGGCTTAAAACTTGTCTTTTTGTTAACTTTTTTTTTTTTTAAAAAAAAAAAACATACTCTCTGCTGCCTGGTCTGAGTGATCAGGACCATTTTGTCTATTCGCAGTCACTGGGGTTGGGGTGACCATGGTGAAATACTAAGTGGACATTGTCATGATCCCCAAGTAGATTATTTTCCATGGAATGATTACCTACATTCTTTTTGTCATGAAATGTTCATTTGATTTCTAGCACAAGTTATGGCAGTATACAAATGATTCTCAGATAAAATGATGTTGACAATATTTCTTTTTAACAATCTGTGTTAAACTATGCTAATTTTCATTCTAACTTTTGGTATTTTTTTTTCTTTTCCTCAAATAAAAGTAATGCCTGATGTTTAAGTTAAAGTAGGTTCACCTTGGCTTGATTGTATTAATCTTGTTCCATATTGTTTTAAACACTACTGAGAATTGCCAACAACTCTTTACTGAGAATCGCTTCCTTCCGAGGCCAATGATTATTGCAGGAGAACAATTTGAGGGATAATAATAATTCAAAGTATTTTCAATATTGCTGAATTTTAGGGATACCTGCTTGTTCTTCTGTTGTGCTAGCTAGGCTAACCTGTGCCTCCCATTTTTGCATTGAGACTATTCTGTAGTGGTGCAGAAAAGTACTTGAGAAAGGCCAGCAAACAACATAGAAATGTGTGCATCCCTAAAATACTGCAGATTCTGTGTGACTTCTGTTATGTATCTTGACCTGAAGAAACAGTCTTTTCTAACAAGAAAGGCAAGATTTGATTGACCTGTGTTTTCATGATTTTTTTTAAGATTTTAGAGTAGAAAACTACTCAACTAAAAAAAAAAAAAAAGCACTAGCTACAAATAAATGGAAAAGTAAAAGCCATGAAGGAAAAAGAGGTTCCTTTGTTCTGTGAAATAATTTCCCTTTCTCAGGATGTAAGACAGCAGCTGCTAAGAAAACACCATAGAAAGAACTAGAAGAAATAATTTGAAAATGGATGTGTAAAATTAGATTGTTAGGAGGAGGATAAATGTCTGAATCCAATTTTTAAAAGAGTCAGTACCTGTGCTATGTTCTCTCAGAAGAAAGATGAAGGGCCGATCTGCTTTAAAAACAGGAGTCCGGGACCTCCTCAGCAGCAACACAGCTGGGGAAAGAATAGACCCTGTCATGTTTCCTGGCCATGGCAAAGTACATGCAGATGTAGATACATAGGTATTAACCTTTATTTGTCTTTAAGGAGTCAAAACACTTAGTGACATTTTACTGTGTGGTACTTTGGGACTGCAAATGGTGAAATTAAAGAGGAAAGATACTATTTAATCAATCCTGTGTCTCATTTTTAAAATATTCCATGAAGTAGCTTCCCTCAAAGGTAAAATCTGTATGATTTTATTCCTTGTTGATAGGGCAATGATACTTTTGGCATCATTACTTTTCAAGATTTTGCCTTCTGTCATTTAAAAAAAATGTTGCATCACACCTGGTCTTGGGCTTAAGTGGTGTGGTTTACAACTGGAGTCAACTGAGCTGCCCCATGGTGCTGAGTGCCTGGCTTCTGGATGTACCTGTGGCTGCAGATGACCTGGTGCCCTCCTCGGAAAGCTCCATCTTGGCCTTGTGGGTTGCTTCAGAAACATAAAAGCTGTCTTGGCCTAATTTGCAAATGACAGAAACGTGAAGTGATTTGTTTACATTTTCTGTACATATCAAGTAAAACTTCAAGATTCAGTGCTACTAGTCTACAGGGAGTGGTACAGAAAACTGCCAAGTCACGTTATCTTTCTACAACTCTCACGAGCTCTGGTCACTAGATTTAATCTGTCTTCCCCCAAATTAGTAGAGACTGAACCCATAAAGTTAATTTTAATGTTAATATTAAAATCTTAACTTTAGCCTATACTTCTAAAGTTAAGTAAGTAAGTCTTTAGGCTCCCAAGAGTGTGTTACAAAGCAGATACTGTCACCCAGGATTAAGTTTAACAAACTTTTAGATAGTTTCCTCTTGACTGTCCTCTTGGGCAGTATTTAAGAAGACATTGAAGATAAAAGTCATTGGATTATTTATGAGAATAATCCAGTGTTATAAATGCCTGCTGGGCTGGAGAGATGGCTCAGAGGTTAAGAGCACTGACTGCTCTTCCAGAGGTCCTGAGTTCAATTCCCAGCAACCACATGGTAGCTCACAACCACCTTTAATGAGATCTGGTGCCCTCTTCTGGCCTGCAGGCATACATGGAGGCTGAACACTGTGTACATGATAAATAAATGTTTTTTTTTTTTTTTAAAAAAAGAAATGCCTGCTGCTCCACAACTACATTCTTTGGAACTGACTGCTGCTTTCCTAGTTTGCTTACCTTAAGGGCTGGAACCCGTAGAGAAGTGTGAGATTACAGCTATGTGTGTGTGTGTGTTAACAGTTTCAAAGGTAAGCTTAGCAAATAGTAAAAAGAGAACTTAGAAAGGGCTTGACAGATTTCTGTAACTAAACAATTCTCCAAAGATGAAATAATGTGTTACAACAAATGGTGAAGGTTGACATGCAGAAATAAGGCTAAGCTGCCCAGCCCTTCTGCTTGAGGGGAAGTGCTGATCTGGTATCACACACACCCAATCAGAATTGAGAATATCCAGCTTTCAGACCCAAAGCCCATTTCTACCCAATCCCCTCCATTCAAGAAACTGCCCTCTGTAGTACACCATCCAAGAGACTTGGGTGTTAACAGTCTTTGATGTAGGTAGGGAGCTTTGCTTCTTAGGTTGTTCTGCTCTAGTCATGTGCACGCAAGGAGATGAGACCCCTAAGGGTTCTGTGAGACTAAAGCGAACCTAGGGTGCAGATTCTTGTGTGTCATTGCAGTGACACAATGGGATATCATGAGAAGGTTATTCCCACTGTAAGGGAAAACTGGCAGTAGAGGATGGAAGGCGGAAGTCAGTGGATATTCACTTGGTACCAGTGGAGAATCAGATTGTTTTCAGTGGTGGTCTTTTTCTGCTTGACTTTGAGAGAAGAAACAAGATTCTCTGTTAATAATTAGCTCCTTCTAGTCCACTGAACAAACAGTGCCAATATTAAAAAAAAATTCGTAAAGAGCATCTTTGCCAGTTGAGGTTTTACTGTCTGACACTGTTACCTCTGTGTTGTCTGAACTACTTTAATATGATTAAATGAGTGCAACTTCATTCTGAAACCCCTTGTCAGATAACATACAGCAAATCCCATGTCTGCAGTTTGCCCACACACACACCGGGGGGGGGGGGGGGGTGTCATTGTCCTGATATGAATGCCTCTTTGATAAGCTAGGTTGGACTGTTTTGAGTGTCTGGAAAGGCAGATGAGTTGCTTAAGTAGCTTTTATCCCCACCAAATTCCAAGAATGACCAAAATTGTTTAATTGTTTGCATATCCGTAGCTGTTTGCATAGTCATAGCAAGACTACTCATAGCCAGTATGCCACCAACGTCACATCTTTGAAATTCTCTGGTGAGAGCTGACCTTTCTGTAGACTACTCTGTGTTTATCTTGTATTCAGTCTGCATTGTGCTCGCATTTGTCATGAGGCTATTGAAATATTATGCCACTAATGAACTAACCAGGAAAAGCAGAGGGGTTTTCCTGTCCTTCGCTTTTCTGAATTGTTGGCATCTGCTTAGTGCCATTAAAGGTCACAGCCTGTTTTTCCCTCAGAATCATGTGTAGGTGCTGTTCTGTAGAAACGTCTCCTTAGTTAATGAGGGAGATGCAGGTTAATGGATCCCACGTGATTGTGAGTAGGAAACTTTCTTGGGACTGCTGATTTGCTAATATTTGCTGTGAGTGGCTCCAGCAGGACTGCGGTACATAGCTTTCTACCCTGAAGCCACCCTCACCTCCCCTTTCTCCCAGTTTATTAGCTGAACTTTCTGGGAAGCCCTTCATAGCCAAGTATAAACATACCAGTGCCTACATACTGTCGCACAGCAAATGTGAGAGATTCTTCTCCCTCCTTCCCAGCATGCTGCCCATTCCTCCTCCGTGACACTGCCTATTCAAGGCTACCCCCTTCCCCATCTTACTGTTAGCTCTAGCAAGTGGCCATTGTGGCATGTTCGCTTTACTGCCTGGCCCAGCTTTCAGAGTAATGCTTAGTACTTGCACGTGTCAAGCGGTGTATGTATCCAGGACTAAGCACATTGTGGTCTTTGGCAAGGGTTTAATTCCCATTCCTTTGGTTGGTAGGTGCCATCAACCTTTTATATATAGTTGGTCACGCATTAGTAAATCATTGTCTGCATTTCGTCCTTAACTCCTCATCAGGACAGGGATGGGACATTTGCTTCCTTTTTCTGATAATGATTTCCTTTGGGAAGAACTTGTCGCTTATCTTTTCCATCCTTTAGGTATGGGAAATGAAGGGTAGGTATGAGAAGTGAAGGGTAGGTATGTAATGTACCACTGCAGCTGGTCCAAGACATAGGAAAGTGTCTGGAGGAATCTTGGGTGGCTCAACTAGCTAGCTGGTTGCTTTCTCATTCTCTGCTTACTCCTTTCTATGTAATGTTGACTGTACTGCCTATGGCCCTCTAGACAATTGCCTTATTCAAATCATTGCATGTAGTTTGAACTTCTTACTGGACAGAAATTGGAAGTTGACTACCTGCTTAAGAAAACAAAGACTAAGATAGTTTTTAAAGAGTTTGAAATTTGTACCCAAGCAATACCTGAACTGGAGGTATGAGTTTCTATCAAAGCCTGCTGATGACCTAAGGAAGGGGATTGCCCAGAACAGGTGCCTACCTGTTCTCTTCAGTGAGAAAGAAACCGCAGCAACTTGATAACTTTGTAATCTGTAGAGACAAGGTGTCAGTGGGGATGGAGAGCTATATCTGGGCTCAGGTGAGATCTGGAATATTGAGTTTTTAAAATGCCAAGAAGGAACAGAGAAGTGTTTTACCCCCCTAGGAAAGGAGAATTCTAAGTGATTCTGACTTTGGAATCAAGTGGGGGAAAAAAGAGCTTTGTTGGGCTTCCTCAGTAATACAAAGTATGGTGACCCCTTGTTAATTGGAGAGAGAGGGCTCTGTTTTTTCATTTCTCTTGTAAAAACTGCAGATAGCACTGAGAAGATGGCTCGGCAGGTAAAGGTGCTTGCCTCACAAATCCGATGACCCTGGTTCCATCCTTGGAAGCCACAGAAATGGGGAAGGAGAGAACTGACTTTACAGAGTTGTCTCTGAGCTCCACGCTGTTCATGTACTCCTTTACCCCAGCACACACACACACAATAAAACTTTAATTTTTAAAACCAAGATTGTTCCATACAATTGGTGAGGTGGGTGGTAACTTCCCATTTGTTTCAGCGGCCTTGTCTCTGCTGTAGGCAGAAGCCCACTTGGGTACTGACATGAGTGGTTTTGAGTTATGCTTAAAGACAGGCATCGGAAAGCAATATCTTAGTTGGCAAGCTATATCTATAAAGGGTCAGATATTAAATTTTTTTTTAAACTATCACAAGGTTTATGTCTGTCCCAGTGACTCAGCTTCACTACCATAGCTAGAAAGCAGCTTTTTGTTATTATTGTTAATTTGGTTTTTTTTTCCTTTTTTCTTCTTTCTTTCTTTCTCTTTCTTTTTTGGCAGGGTTTCTTGTGTAACAGCTCTGGCTGTCCTGGAACTTTCTCTGTAAAGCAGAATGGCCTTGAACTCAAAGAAATCCACCTTCCTCTGCCTGAGATTAAAGGTGTGCACTACCACAGCCCAAAAGATTATTTTTAGTAAGTAGCTGCTTAATTAATAAAAGCAGGTGTTGTGCCATCACTTGACTTCTATATTATATTGGAACAAAACAATGGAAGAAAATTGTTAAGTCTCAGTAAAAAGCATGAATACGAGCCCCAAAATTATTAACACATGCTGGATTTTTAAGCCACATCTGTGAGCTTTGAATTATATTGGTTTGAACAAATGTAAGTAAATGAATTGTGTTAGATGTGAGCCATCTCAGTGGTACTCATAGGACTTGGTAACAGGCTGGGGTGATGGCTCAGTTGGTAATGAGAACTCAAATGGGATTCCTTGAACCCATGGTAAAAAGCCAAGGGATGCAGTACATGCGTACAGTCCCAGCACTGCACAGGCTGGGAGGAACAAGGGAGAAAGGCAGTGGAGTCCCGTAGCTTGCTGCCCAGTGGAGCCTAATCCTAGTGAGAGATTCTGTCTCAGAAACAGTGGGTCGCTCATCTTACAGGCCATGGGTATTTTTACTTACAGTGGGACTGCAAGCTACAGGACCACTACTGTTTAAGGACACAAGATGGACATTTGAATATGTCTTTCTTAGATGCTGAGGGAGAAAGACTAGGAATTATGAAGGAGCAACTGATTAATGCAATGTTGTGGAAGAGAGGGCCAAGAATAACCTCAAAGCTGCTTTTTTCCCTCCCTTTTGGTACCAGGTACCAAACCCAGCATCCTAAAGTTTTTCATTCGGATGTAAAAGTAATGAAATTTCCATCAGCCACAGGGATGCCAGAGCTGAATTCTGAAGCCTTGAGAAGATGATATGCTTGCCCATTATTGAAGATAGAATATGCATAACTTGGCTGTCCTTTGCCCCTTGCCTTTGATCATTTCGCTGTTATAGTTTTCCTTTCCTGTAAGTGTCAAAGCATTCCTCTTAATAAGAAAATTTCTGGTTGATATTTTCAACTAAGCCAGCAGTATTGCCTTGTTTCTAATTGTATGCCTAGTATTGTGGACAGTAGAAAACTTTACTATTGTCTTTGTACATTTAGACAAAGAGGTGGTAGATGGGTTTTGTGTGTGTGTGTGTGTGTGTGTGTGTGTGTGTGTGTGTGTGTGTTGGAGACGGGACCCAGGACTTTGTGCATGTTCAGCAAGTACTCTATTATGAAGTCTTAGCCCAAAGATGGCAAATTTTAGTACTCTAGATACTTCCTGCCATGCTTTATTGAATAAGTAACTTGCAGTTGTTCTGTCTGGTCACATCTAAAGCACAAACCTGGACTTGAAGATCAAACTCCCATTATTGTCTGTAATTAAGGAATATTCTGAACCAAGTTTTAGTGCCAGGTATTCCAATGACCTGGTGTTTAAAATGGTAACTTCCAAGTTCATCAAGTAAAAGCATTGTCTAGACCAATGAGAACATCTGTTGCAGTGTTCTCCCCTCACAGATAGTCTGTGGAGCAGGGACAGTCCAGGGCCTTATGAGTTGGCCAAAGTTGAGACAGTGGTTCCCTCAAGAAATTCTCAAAAGTAGATGTTACCATTCCTTTTCTCTTGGGCGTGCAATGTAAGCTCAGGCTGCAGGCAAGCATGGTCCCTAGTGATCAGCAGTAGCATGTCAACTATGGAAAAGAAGTTGAGCACGGTTGCTGCCTCTTAGGGCAAGGTCGTACGAGCAAGGGAAATTTGAGGAATGGATGAAGAAAAGATTTACACTTAGCTCATTACAAAAGGCAGGAGGAGTTAAAGGCAACCAGGAAGGGAAAGGGTAGAGACAGGATGACCATGATGCTGATGGGACAGCAGAGAGCAGAATGAAGGTTCCGGTGCTGCCTTGAGTCTTCATGAGCGTCTGGTCACGGCAGAGGGAGGTCTCTTCACCTACGGCCACTTTGCTACACTATGATGGTGCTTTCCAAGTCCACGCTCAATATCCCCAAGGAGCACCCTTCATTCACCAAATCCAATCAGAACTTGACTGTTATCAGAGGCACCACATTATAGAAAGCCAAGTGCTTTATTCTTTTAGACAGGTGTTTTACTGTCAAAAGCTCTATGGAAACAGTAAAGGTCCTTTCATCAATATAGCAAAACTGTCCCAAACATAATGCCCCCAAAAGATCGGAAGAATTGAAAAATGATTACCTGAAATTCCTTTCAAGTTAGCTTTGAGTGGGTCAAAAAGATCAGTGATACCCCATGATCTTAAAATGCTTTTTAAATCAAACTGATTTTGGATCCGAAACCTGCAAAACAAAAGCCAACTATCAGGTGTCATTTAGAATGCACACTACTCTCTCATACATACCACATGGAGGTCATGGCACACTGGAATTCACCACTCTGTGTTTTTCATTGTTCCTTCTCTTGAGTCATACCTGGGGCTATCTTGACCCTTCTGGGCTTTCCCCCAGCTTTGTCTATACTGCTCACTTATGATGGTCCTGTTTCCCTTGACTGCCTTTAAATAAGTGTCCATCCCTCAGCTGATACCTTCCTACTCAGATGGCCTGACTTTTTCAAGATGGTACTAGAGTTAGGGCCCAGGACCTCCTGCATCCTTGCCAGATTTTCTATTGCTTGAGCTCCACCCTTAGCCTAGTCACTCTGGTTCTTAAAGTCCAGTTTGCAAAGCTGTACTCTGAGGGTGTCCAGACCAGTCTGCTTCCTATTAATATTCTTTATGACACCATAAGTGACCTGAGAAGAGAAGCTACCTCAGCTCCTTTTTATTAATAATATTTAGTGAGTGTTCACACTGTGGTAGATACTAAGATGAGAACTTCATAGAAATGATTCCATCTTCATATAATGGCTATTATTCCTTATGTAGTAGATGGAAAATTCAAAGCATTATGTATTTTAAAAAACCTGCTCAAGAATGCCCTAATGAGTAATGGGGTGCTCCTCAGTTCAAATCCAGGCTATGAGAGTGTGGAGCCTAGCCATTATCACTTGGACTTTGCTCCTCACATTTGGATAGAATCTCAGACATAATGGATGCAAAACAGTAGCTATAGTACCTTGTAGAGCTTTTCTGCTGTGTAACACATTTTCATGTTTGCTGTGTGCAGTATGTGTGTGCCTTTGATGTACAGCAGAGAAGGAACTCAACCTTGAACTGCCCAGACACCACTGAAAGCAGAGAGACTCAGCTCAGCATTTCCCCAAGACAAAGCACTGATTTGCTGTCGAAGAAGCCTTCAAATAGACTGCTACTGCTCTTTATCTTTAAAAATAAAAAAAGAAATATAATTTAAATGGTCTTTTGTATAAACCATACATAACTTTAGAAAAACAAAAAAAAAAGTTTGTTGATATTTTTCAAACTATTTGTCTTCAGCCCAGGAAACATCCTTTTTGAAAAGCATAAATGCTGACTGTAACGATTAGTGCTATGGACCTGGCTTTTTAATTTGTTTCCTCTCACCAGGAGCTTCTTTCCAGACCCAGTGGCATGTTACCTCACCTCTATTTCCTTGTTATGTTTCTTTGTACGATAAGCATGGCAGCGGTAAAATCTAAATAGGGTTTGACAATTAAATGAGAATTCGTGTAAAGGGTTCAGTACAATGCCCAGCATGGCTAGGCACTTAGCATTGTGTTTTGACTGTGGTTTCACAATAATATTAAGAAACCAAAGATGTGGTGGGTGAGGAAACTGAATAATGTCATGTTTTAGTAAAGTAAAGTCAAGAAAAGTGGGATCTGATTTCAGAAGATCCTAGTGGTGCTCCTATATGATTATATTATATTTTATATTATATTATTCCAGTGCTGCTCCTATGTGATTATAAAGGCAGAACAGGAAGAAAAGCACGGTAACTGGAGTAAACAGCGGAGACACTGCCTGCCCTGTAGAGAAGCTAGAGTCATATTTCATATGAACTCTCAACAACATAGTAGGGATTGGGTTGAAGTGAATTGAGTATAGTTAAATCCAACATCATATCAAGTCTCCCACTACCAAGTAGGGCTTAGAGAAAGAGTGCAAGATGTGTTTAGGCATGAAAATAAGATAACAACATGTTAATAAAGATTACGTGGTCATCTCAACAGTTAAAGAAAAGGCTTGTGACAAAATCTAACACCTTTTCGTGATTAAAAATCAACAGGACTTGGGGGATGTTCAGTGATAGAGCACTAGCCCAGCTTGCTTGGACGTTACTACCAAATACAACGACAAGTGATGCCCATACAAAAAGCCCAAAGAGCATCAAATAGTCAGCCAGCTTGGGACATGAGGTGACTCAAGATGATGAAGAACGTCTACAAAAATCCCCGCACCTAGCATCTTCCCTTCAAGGTTCCCATGTAAGATCAAGAACAAGGGTAGCCATTCACGCCACTTGACTTTGGCCTTGTGCAGGAGGGTGTAAATCCACAAGCCAGATCACATCAGAAAGGAGGTGGAGGCTAGCGATACAGCCCAGTGGTACAGCACTTGCCTGGCATACAAGAGACCCTGAGTTCAATCCTCAGTACCATGAAAAAAAAAAGTTGTAAAATAAAATATAGTTTAAAAGAGGAAGAAGTAACTCTATCTGAATTTGGAGATGACTTGCTCTTACGTGTAGAAAACACTGAAGACCACTCAAAAACACTATTAGAGCTCATTTGAGACACCCAGAAGCACAAAACTCTGTCCAAGAAACAACTGAATGGAAGGAAGGCATCCCAAGCCCCCAGCCTGAGACTCCCACATCAGAAGACAGCACTCCCTGACTGACATACGTATCCGAGACATCCTCGTGTCTAATGCCAACTTGCTTGTTTTGGGCAGAAACTGGTAAGCTGATCTTAAAATTCGTAAGTTAGTCTCTAGGAAGAAGAGAACAAAATTAGACTCACCTCCTGATTTCTAGGCTGACTGCTGTTTTAGGAGCCAAAGTGGCACAACACTACACAAACACAAGAATCTTCCCATAGAATGAAACCGAGAGTTCAGAAATAAGCCCATATATCTGGTATTTTTTTTTTTTGGTGATGAAGGAAAGAATGATACTTTCAACAAATGCATAGGATACTGGGCAATCACCACATGCAAACGCACGAAGGTTTGACCTCCTCCTTACACCAAATGCAGCTGACTCTCAAATAACATGGGCTTCAACTGACGTAGATTTTTCTTTTGTTTTTGGAAATTTTGCATCAATTTGAAAACTTCACAGGTGAACTATGCAGCCTAGAAAAATAACACTGAAGGGGAATGTATGTCATGGATACATGACACATATGGCTAATTTGGCATTTCCTACCAGAAGATATGTACAAGCTAAGCTTAGCATGCACTTAGAGACTGCCTCACGCCGCAGTCCCGCTCTTCCAACCCTTGAAAATGTGAGCAGATGCGCAGATCCTGTGTTGAGTCATGATGGCAGAAGATTGACACCTGCGATTTACAGTGTATTGCACGGGTGTGATCATTTTACAACCTCTTCCGCTGAACATCTGCAAAGCCCTCCACTGGTCCGTGATATCATCTCTGTGAAGGTGGTCAGTTAGAAGTGTGGACATCTCTTATTTTTAACCATACATGTCTTGCACAAAATATATATGGTAGTACTGCTTGATACTGGGACAAGAGCAGTCAAAAGCAAACTATTAGTAGTATTTTTGGGAGCCAAAAGTTACATGCAGATTTCCTACAGCAAGGATCATTGGTGTCCCCTGGACCTCAAGTTGTCACGGGTACAATAGTTAATTCACAGTGGATCAAAAGCCTAAAGTAAGAGCGAAACCCATACCTTAAAACTCTTAGGAAAGCTAGGCATAGACTTTGAGACTTTAATTGGGCGATGAGTTTTAGGAGTTACACAAAATGGTATCTCCTAGAAATGTTTGCATACACAAGACCAGAACAATGGTGATATCAACGGACCTGTTAAGATGGAAGGGGAAATTTTCTCTGGATCACACCCCCAAGAAAAGCAACTACAGGCAGCTGATGACTGCAGGTATGTGACAATAATAGCAATTTGAGGAGGGTTCAAATGAGGGTAGCTGGGAGGGCCTAGAAGGAGGAAAGGAAGGGGGAAAGTGATGTTATTTCATTTCAGTTGAAAACGTTGGAAATGCTTAAATAAAATACAGTGTACCCATGTACTAGAATATTGTTGAGCCATTAAAAAAGACGAGATAGGTGATAAAAGCCCGATAAAAGGCTCGCGGCATGAACTATCCCTTCAAAGAAAATCCACAGAGAAAGAGTAAAATAGTGGTTGCCCAGCGCCGAGAAGAGATGCCTCATGAATGTGGGTTTCTTTCTAAGGTGACGAACATCTTCCAGAGCTCGGAGTCGGTTGGAGGTGTATCTCAGCTGATAGAGTGCTTGTCTAGCGCATACAAAGCCCCAAGTTTGATCCCCAGCACCCCATAAATCAACTGCCCTGGTGCACATCTGTGAATCCAGGATTCGTGATCCAGAGGCAGCAGGAGCAGAGGTTCAAGGTCATCCTTGGCTACGTGAAACACACTCTTTATAAATTATAAAATTTGTTTCATGGCTGCACACTTTTGTAAATAAACTTTAAAAAGTACATACAGTGTGCACTTATTATCCATTTATTCATTGAGACAGGGTCTTGCTAAATAACTGTGGCTGGCCTGGAACTATGTAGACCAGGCTGGCCTCAAGCTCACAGAGATCTGCTTGCCTCCGCCTCCTGAGTGATGGGATTAAAGGTGTGCACCAGCATACCCAGCTCAAAGAACACTTTAAAAATGACTTTTATGGGCACTATATCCCATCTAGAAGAGAGAGAAATGTCCTTCAGAAAGTGTTGCATATAATGGTAGCCAGCAGCTTCCTCAAAGAAGAGCAAAGCTCAGTGTGTGTGTGTGTGTGTGTGTGTGTGTGTGAATTTGAATATTGCTTGGGTGTGTCCCCAAAGGTTCTTGTGCTGGAAGCCTGGCTCACAGGGTAGTGGTATTGAGCTAGCGGCGCCTTTGGGATGCAGGTCTAACTGAAGGTGATCGGTCAGGACAGCCCTTGGGAGGTAACATAGTTCTGCTGTTGTTTTCTATGGGAGTGGTTCTCAACGTAAAAGAGGAAGTCAGACCCTCAATCTCTCTCACATCCCTTTCCACCCCATGACTGCTTCTGCCACCACTTCATCCTCTGTGCCAGGATGCAGAGCAGAGGAGATGCTGGTGCCAGGCTCTTAGATATGTGGAATGTGACCTAAATGCATTGTATATATATATATATATATATATATATATATATATATATATATATATATAGAGAGAGAGAGAGAGAGAGAGAGAGAGAGAGAGAGTGTGTGTGTGTGTGTGTGTGGTGTGGGTGGGTGGGTGGAGAGAGAAAGAGGGAGGGGGAGAGAGAGAGAGCGCGAGAGAGCCATTGTACTAGGGCATAAACTGGAAATGATTTAGGTCTGGATTTAGACATATGCCTTGGACCATGGCAGACACAGCCAGATTTTTGTTTGTTTTAGACAGAGTCTCACTATGTAGTCCTGGCTGACCTGGGCTGTTCTATATTCCTAAACATATTATTTTCTAGTTTCAGGCATCTATGGGCTCTTGTTCAGTGAAATCTATCTGATGACCATAGAGCACATTCTACTAAATGGAGACTGACTGACTTGAGCAAACCAGAGGTAAATTCTTACCCAAAAGCTGGCTGTGCAGTGGGTGGTAGCATTAAGTGCCTTTAAACCTGGCGCTAGAAGGCGGGGCAGGTGGATCTCTGTAAGTTTGAGGCCAGCCTGGTCTCCATAGTAAGTTCCTAACTAGCCAGGGCTACATAGTGAAGGGCTGTCCAAAGAGAAGAGAACAACAAAACCGTGGCTGTGTCTATTATGGCCCAAGGCTTAGGTCTAAAGCTGAGCTTAACGCAGTTTTAACTTTTGGGTTTATTCCCTAAAGCAGGGGTTCTCAACCCTCCTATGCTGAGACCCTTAATACAGTTCCTCACGTTGTGGTGACCCCCAACTATAAAATTATTTTCATTGCTATTTCATAACCTTAATTCTGCTGCTGTTATGAATTGTGATGTAAATATCTGATATGCAGGACATCTGATATGGGATCCCTGTGAAAGGGTTGTTTCACTCCCCCTCCCGATGGGTCATGACCCACAGGTTTAGAATCACTTTTTTAGGTTTAGAATCACTGCCCTAAAAAGTTTACAACTAAGCTTTTTGTTTGTTTGGTTTTTTCCTTTGGTCTGGTATGTGTGTGTATGTAAGGTTGCTTTTGTTTATGAAATAAATGGCTTTTATTTATCTAAAAATCTCCTATTCGTTTTGGATTAGATGCTTGGTACCTTGGGTGACTAAATATATTTATCAGAATGAGGAGGTTGTTTAAGTCATTGCCGAGACCCTCTGACCTCCTCCTCTGTCCTGTGTTTTCAGGGTCGCTGCTGAGGGCCTGGGAGAATGTGAATGTCATGGTCTCCTCTCTCTGTAGAGCTGAGTGTTTCTTGGGGAGGCCTCCTTCCATTAGCCGCTCCAGGCCGAGCTACTCTTCTTCATGAGAGACGGCAGGTTCTTGGCTGGGCTGCCCCTTCTCTCCATACTGACTGCATGAGCTGCCTTCCCTCCTGCACTAATTAGCCCCAAATGCCACAAGATCAGGGACCGAGCCTTGGGCTTTGAGAAAGGGGCTTTGTCTTGGCTTTGAGTTCATCTTGGCTCTTCGTTATGCCTGATCTCATTTTAGACCTGGGCCCTGCCTCCTTGGGTTTCTCCTCATATGGTTTTTTTTTTTTTGTTTTGTTTTTTGTTTTTTGTTTCAGGAGATGCACTTATTTTTAAGAGCCTGAGGGAGGGAGCCCTGCCAAGGCCTTTGCCTGTACCCACTGGGAGCTCTGGCCTTGGAGTGTGACCAAGGCCCCAAGTGGACAGGACTGAAGAATTCATGGCTGCCAGTGAGCTCCCCGACATCAACGCTCTGCACTTTGTGCTGACCTACAAAGCTATGCTGAGCCTTCTCTGGTTTCAAATTGCCGGACCAGCTCATCATTCGACAAACTCTAGGCAGAACTCTTTTGTAAAACAATGAGTTTTGCTAACATCGTTGCTTTGGAAAACAAGAACACTATTACTAGGTTTTTTTTTTTCAATTTATATTTATATCTATTGGATTTTCTTCAAGGACTGAACCTCTCCACTTAGAACAAATGTATCTTCAACACAAAGATGTCAAGTCTTGAATTTACTAGCTAATAGAGACAGGGTCTCATGCAATTGCTCAGGCTAGTGGGGAATCACTCGGTAGCCCAGACTGGTTTTGAACTTGCTGATGACCGTCATCCTGACGATCTGGGTTTACAGCTGTCCCGCCATGCCTGGGAAAGTCTGGAATTTTTATGTCCTAATTTGGCTTCTAACTAGAATTACACACATGCTTTCTCATTTACACAAGCCATCTTGTCTCTTTGGTTTGGGGGCAATGACAACTGTACCCACAAGGGTGCCACCTTACACTTTTCTTATCCCGCAGTGGCATGCCTGAAGAGCAAGGAAGGGACCTGAGTCAGTTCGGTGAGAGTCATTCATTTCAGGAAGACCGGGGAAGTTAACTCAACTGTATGTGCCATGTTCTACTTTGCAGTGACTTTAGAATAGCCTCAGACCCCAGGGAACTTCTTGGCCTAAGTTCATTTGACAAGCTAGCTCAGTGAGAGGATGGGTCTTGGAGTCTGACGATTTGACTCTACGTACAAGCCCCACTGGCTACCACAGTCATTCCCTTGTGAGGAAGGTGTAGCCACTCACCTGGGGAGGAACACATCCATTCTGGTTCTCTTCAGCCTGGTGGCCCAGAGGTGGATAGCTCTGGCTGTGAGGTGTGGCTCAATGCAGTCCAGAGGGGTGTCCTTGTCTTGCGGAAGCACCAGGAACAAACTGGCTGCTCTTCCCAGGTACAACAGCTCCAGAACGTCTATCCTGTGGCCTGCAGCATCCTGGAACTGGCCTAGTGGTTCGGTGGGTCAGGGATTAGCTCTGTCCCCGGAGTCAGAGAAACCAAACAATGCCACAACCTGGGGTAGGCAGACTTACAAGACAGCAACAGTAAAACAGAGTGCCAATCTTGGCCTCAGGAAGGAGTCTGAGACTGGGAACTATTAGTGACATCAATGTGGGATTTCCCTCTGTATGCTTTGAATATGTTTTATTACCGGTTGTTGATAAAGAAGCTGCTTTATTGGCCTATGGCAGGGCAGAATATAGCAAGGTGAAAAATCCAAGCAGAGATAGAGGGGGAAAGAAGGCGGAGCCAACCAGGCGCCATGTAGATGCCCAAGAAGCAAGTGGTAACAAACCACAGGGCTCGTGGTAAAGTATAAAATAATAGAAATGGGTTAATTTAAGATGTAAGAACTAGATAGAAATATACCCGAGCCATTGGCCAAACACTGTTGTAAATAATATAGTTTTTGTGTAATTATTCAGGTCTGGAAAGTGAAAGAACAGTCCTCAGTTACATGACATGGTTCCTTTACTGATCCTAAAGCCATCTAAGATCTCCCATGGGGCCTTTCTCAAGGATTCACTGCAGCTGAGCCTGCTGGGACGGTATCTTGAGGGAGCCTGTCTAGTCTGGGCTTATGGCGATTCAGGCTCTTCATGTTCTCTTGTCTTTAAAAATGGTTTTTAATCTGCATTTCCTATGGAAACTCCCCAACTCTTTTTTTTTGGGGAGGGGGCTTTTAAGAATTTTTTATTGTGTTCCTGGAGATTGAATTGAGGTCTTCTATAAGAGTAGAGAGAGCTGAGCTATCTCTCCAGGCCCCCAGGACAGTCTCTTTCTTTTTTTTTTTAAATTTATTTATTTATTAAAGATTTCTGCCTCCTCCCCGCCACCGTTTCCCATTTCCCTCCCCCTTCCCTGATCAAGTCCTTCTCCCTCATCAGCTCGAAGAGCAATCTGGGTTTTTGATCCTACTGCACGTACTGGCTTTGGGGGAGCCTAGGCAGTTTGGATGCTCACCTTACTAGACCTGAATGGAGGTGGGTGGTCCTTGGACTTCCCACACGTCAGGGAACCCTGATTGCACTCCCCAACTCTTGAAACACCATCCAGACCCAACAAAACACGTACCCTGTCTGGGTTTGGCTTGAGGATCGATCATGTTTAACTATGACCTAAACAGATAGGTCTCGGGATGGGCAGCAGGGAGTTTGTGGGCAAAGAAAATTGCAGGTTGAAGACAAATCCAGGCCACCAAGGCAGAGGGTGATTGCAGAAGGAGGGGATGGGTCAGGTGGCAGAGTCTAGCAGGACACATTAAACGGGGGGAGGGATCAGGTGCTGCTGGGGGTGGAGGGAGGAAGGTGGAGGCACGTGTGAGGTGAACCCATTGCAGGCTGAGGCTCATTCTTGGCATCCTTGGCACAGAGCATGCTGGCATCTACAGCACACATGAGGCCACCAGGTCTCTGCTGCCACCAGGACCCGCCCCCACTGACTGAGACTAGTAACCATAGGCAGAAGGGCCACACAGAGCAACGCCGTGTTAGAACCAGGAATCCTGTAGTCTGCAGGCCTTTTAGCCTTCATTTGGTCCTGGGTGGGTGTTAGCTATGACATGAAAGTGTTTGGTCCAGGCATTTTTGATTTCACGTGAACATGTTCAGACTCAGGGCAGAGGCCAATGCCACACATGATTTCTCTTCCACATCTGTGTCCTCAGCATCCAGATGGGCACACCATTCAAGGCTCCTCTGTCAGTCTCCTGCTACGTTGGACTTCCCTCCAGTCCACCCACAACCCTGAGAAAGGACCCTTCTGAAAACATATGTCCATCCAATCCTGTAAAGCAGAGGCCACCTCCCTCTCTTGCCCGAGTCGCTGGTTTCCTCCGACTTTCTGAATGTGGACAGGAGGGGGACTCACCATAGCTGACCTCTGCCACCTGATGCATCGCGGGAACTTGAAGGACGAGGCCGTGGGCACAGGTGAAAGGCAGGGTCTGCGAGCCCATGGAAGAGAATCTCCTTTGCCAGGTGCTTTGGAAGGTCATGGTGCTCACGATGGAGAGCCAAGAAGACACGGTGCCAGCCTCCCCCGACTGTGGGCTACCCAGGCTCTCGCCTGTAGATAGAAAAACTTGTTCTCTCTCTCTCCCTTTCTCCTGCTTCATGTTATTTTCAGTTTACCACAAACGTTTTAATTCCTTATGCTGCCAAGGGACCCACAGCTGCTAACTGGCTTTTAACTTATTGTCATGGAGACGGAAAGTGAGAACACGGTCTCAGAGTGGGTTCCTGATGACTGCCCTCTGGCTCAGGGGCAGCCTTAGAACTTGAACCATAGCCTTCTTGCTAGCATGTATCCATTGTGGCTTCCTTGCCTGTTTCTAACAGGTGCCCAGAATGCCCCTGGTTCCGCTGAGTCATGTCCCAGAGCTCAATAGGCGCTGTCTCTCCACGCAGACGCTTTCATGGCCAAGGTTTCAGAACCAGAGAAGACTGCACTCTGTCACCTCCGCCTCGGAGCCCACTAATTGCTGAGCTGTGCCCTCACCACACCTTCGCTAGGGCAACTGTGTTCAGAACGCAGCTTGGGAGGGCTGTGGTTAAAATGTCATGTAAGAACAGGAAGGAGCAAGCAGGACCATTGCTACAGAGACAGCTGCTGTCCCCGGCCATCAACTGTTTAATAAATATACTTCGTGCTAGGTTCTGCCTAGATGCTGGACGAAATCTCTCTGACTTTTTGTTGTCATTCTTCATCTTCCAGATGAGAGGAGTGAGGCTCAGGGAAGCTGCTCACATACTGCCATCCACCCCATCACCCAGCGAAAGATCTCTGCTCTTGAATCTGAGCAGAGTTACTCCATATTTATTGCTTTAAATGGCTCTACCAAGTCTTCCTTTTTCTTAAAAGGAAGCCAGGCCGGGAGTTGGAAACACTATGTTAGATTTTGAGCGTGTCCCCTGGCAGCCCAAGAAGGATACAGGGACTCACTTCTTAATTAAAAAATATTGTAACCACGTGTCTATGTGTTTGTCTCTGTGTGGGTATCTGCATATGACAGCTGGTAACCCTGGATTCTAGCTGAGGGCATCAGATCCCCCACAGGGGGATTAAAGGCCCTTGAGCCCTACCTGGTCCACCCTCTTAACCGCCAAACCATTTCTCTGGTCCCAAGGATCACTCCTTGTAAAGTAAATTGCCGAAGACAGCATCGAGCATCTGAAGATAGAGTCCACGTGTATCCCAGCTTCCTGTTCTGCATTTAAGCAACACTGGATCTTGAACATTCTCCATTTATCTGACTCTTTTGTGTGCTTACCGAGAATATGGTAGTCAAACTACCTGGATCAGAATCCTGGCGTGGTGGACCACGGGCAAGCAAGAAACTCAACCCTTGGTCGTTCAGTTCCTTCATTTGTAAAATGGAGACAGCCCCCACCTTTGAGGATTAGTGGGTGAGTGAAATGGAATCAAATTTCACAGAGCACTAAATAAATAAAGGAAAGGCTAGCAGATGGCAGTGACTTCCACCCACTTCCTAGCAGTCACGGCACACGGTGGTTGCTGCTGATGGTTGCATTATGCGTAGAAACCTCCAATAGAACCAAGTGAAACTTACTGATTATAACTTGTCCTTTTGTGCGTGTGTGTTTCCTTAACCTGAGTGTCCCAGAAGCTACTTTTCTGCGTCCTGCTGCATTTTGCTCTCACCTGGGGTTAATTGTAGGCGAAAGCAGAACTTGCTGAGAAAAGGCCTGCGGAGAGTGACATGGGACCCATCCCGTAGGGTATTTCCAGAGGTGATAGGCTTTGAGAAACACTTTTTGGTGTCTGTGTGCTTAAGGATGGGCGTACATGTGCGTGTACGTGTGTATTTCTGCTGGGGTGTGAAGAGGAGGAACAGAGGAGCCCCGAGCCAGCTGCGGTTGTTTCACAGACCATGTGTGCCCCTCAAAGGTTATCTGCCTTCTCAACTTCTGCTGTAACTCAGGGCATCCTGAACCTCACCACGGCTTCGACAGACGATGGGCGGCACTACTTCTTTGTAGCCCTCTACCCTTAGCCCTGCCAGGGACGACGGCTTTCCTTTACCTGTGCTCTGCCTGGGTGAGCCCCTCGAGACCTCCTCCGTGGTGGTGCTGGTGGGCTCACTGAAGTTGGCTGGCGCCAGACTGCTGTTGGTCCACCAGGAGACCTGCTCCACAAAGCCGGGAGACAGAGGCGTTCCGGTCTGCATGAGAAGAGTGCAGGCCAGCTCCATCCCGATGCCTTGGCTGGAGTTGTGCAGCATGGTGTAAACAGTGTGCAGGAACTCTCTCACTCTCGGGTCTGTGAGAAAGGAGTGTTTGTCGGGGCTTTCGCAGCTCCCACCTGCAGGTGGTCTCAGAAGCTGTGTCCACCCACAAGTCCCTCACTGGAAATGGCACAGCTACCTGAGTTGAAATCCACTAACCCTGTAGCTTGAAAGTTGGGCAGAAAATATGCGAGATCCCAAACAAATCTAGATGGAAGTAGAAAAGCTGTGTTTCCTGACTTCCTGATTCAGGGGCATGGCTGAGTTCTGGAAAAGAGTGTAGCAAGCTTTTTTGCTTGCCATCAGCTCACAAAATGACACAGAGATTTCTTATTAATTATGAACGCTTGGCCATTAGCTTAGGCTTGTCTCTCTCGCTCTTGTAACTTAAATCAACCTGTCAACCTGTTTCTGTTCACCTGCCTTTTATCATGTGATTTGGTTACCTTTCCTCTGTCCTGTATATCTGACTTGTTCTGCATCCTCTTGTCTCCCATGCTCCTAGATTCATCCTTCTGACTTCCTTTCTCTCTGCCCGGAAGTCCCGCCTATCCTCTTCTGCCTAGCTATTTAGTCATTCAGCTTTTTGTTACACCAATCACAGCAACACATCTTCACACAGTGTATGTTCCACAACAAGGAGAGTGTAGAGCTGGGGTATGGCAGGCCCAGTGGGCCACGATGGAATTTCTAGCAGTAAGGCAGAGAGTTCTGGGTGGTGTGGTAACCACGGTGGGCAGTGGCTAAGGAGCTGCAGTCCTAGTTAGGCTTCTGCTGCTGTGGTTAAACACTGGGGAGGAAAGAGTTTATTTCACCTTACAGTTTACAGTCCATCATTGAGGGAAGTCGGGGCAGAAACTCAAGGCCGGAGCCTAGAGGCAGGAACTGAAGCAGAACCTGCCACTGAGTCAGTCAGTTGAGTTTTGCCAAGCCATTTACCTCTAGTGTTAGTCTGTGAGAATCAAATGACATACTCGTAAAAAGAAATTCAGTGTGCATTACAAAGCAGAACTCTGCCAGAACTTGGGAGGTAGAGGCAGGCAGAGCTCTGTGAGTTCCAGGTCAAGCTACAGAGAAACCTTGTCTCAAAAAAAAAAAAAAAAAAAAAAAAAACCTCAAACAAACAAACAACAACAACAACAAAAAACCCCCCAAAAAACAAAACAGAACCCTTTCCCTGGGGCTAGACCACCTTCCTTTCCAAGGCCTCTGTGCTAAAATGTTCTCATTAATTTACCTTGAATAATAATGAAAATGCTTAGAAGCTGGAGCATTGGAAAACTGCGCATTCGCCATGCACCCAAGACCCAGAGAATCCATGCTGGGTCTGACTCGGAAGCCTCCTCCCTGACGGCTGGTTTTCACAGAACTAGAAGTTGCTATGCAAGCTTCCAAGGGAGGAACGCAGCCAGCAGTCCTACCCAGCAGAACCACAACAATGACCAGCATGATACAAAAATCCCAAAGGTGTAGTAGGGGCACGCATATCTTGTCAGTAACCAATTGCTGTCTAACTGAACTTAAGACCCATTCAACAGGATGGGAATCATCCTTGGTACGGGAAGCCTAGCCAACTACAGGGATCTTAGAGGAGAACCTCCAACACTGCTTTACTAAGCCAGCATAGTTCCTAAATGCATTCCAAATGGTCCTGTTGTGCCCAGACCCAGCTGATAACATCTGCAGCATGACTCCTTCACCCCAGGAAATACATCGAGGGAGAGGTGGCTGAAGGATTGTAAGAAGGAGAGGACCAAGTGATCTACTGTGAGACTGTCCCCTACAGGTGGCAGGGAAGATTTACCTACAACATCTCAACAATATGGCTGCCCGAACAAGGACATCAATAGACATACTAATAAAGAAAGGGAATCTCATGAAGCCTTAGCCCTGCAGGTGACCAAGGAAGATGGGAAAGGAAGAAATAGCCCTCTTTATGGAAGAACATTCCCCTGATTGGTTATCCAATACCAAGTGGTAAGTGGTCAAGCCTTGCAATCATACATACACAAGAAACAGTAAATGGACCAAACAGGTTGTGTTTATATATATAGGTGTGTGTGTGAATAGAAAATAAAAAGAGGCCATGATTTCAAGATGGAGTAAGGGGGTAGGAGGTACGCATGGGAAGGATTTGTGGGAGGGAAGGGAAGAGGAAAAAATGATGTTAGTATATTTTAATTAAAATATAAATAATATATTAAAAGTTAAATCCTGTGTATATATGTTTGTGCAATGCTCACAGAAGCTGGAAGAAGGTGTTGCATCTCCTAGAGCTGGAGTTACAGGTGTTTGTGAGCTGTCTGACATGAGGGCTGGGAACCAAATTTGGGTCCTCTGCAGGACAAGTGTGCACTCTCAGCTGCTATGCTATGATGGGCATCTTCCCATCATCTTTTAAAAGAGAGGCACTGGTTTTAAGCAGGGCACACAGCACAACTAAAATGGAGAGAGTGGTGAGGAAGAGTCTGAGAGGATGCCCGTCCCTGTCCTTATGAACTGATGATGGCGCCATGCGAAGGGGAAGCAGTGTGTGACTCAGAAACTTACGGGGACTGTGGTCCTGAGATAGAATCCCTGACATCCAGACAAAGTCTAAGGGCTCTGCGGCAGCCCTGATTTCATCATCATTCTCAATTGACCAGTCAAACAAGCGTCATGATGGCATCTGGTCTCAGAATGGACTCTCCCTTGAATGTCCCACCCAAACCGTCCTGACTTGTTGAGTCTCTACTGAAGGCTGAAGGGCCTGTCTTTTTTTTTTTGGATTGACATTTCTTCTTCTTGAGCAGATCACACATAATATCTTCTGGGAATCCTCTGACCTGCTGGTGGAATCACAAAAACACACAGCACCCACCCCATCTACAAAACACATGGCACCCCATCCCCATCTACAAAACACATGGCACCCATCCCCATATACAAAACACATGGCACCCACCCCATCTACAGGTATTGCTCCCCTGAGACAGAGTGGCTGCCTTCAGAATTCTCATGAGCATAAACCAAGCCCCTAAGCAGTTGTGGCCCTTACAGTAGGAACACCATGACACTTGGTGTGTTGTACTGTGCTGACTCTAATGGGAGCCTGTGGACCTGGGCACTGCTCTGGTGTATAACTGCTGGGAATGACTAAGTTCTAAACACTACCTTTGGCTTCAGGTTTCCCTAGAGAGAACAGACCTATTTGTTATCCAACAAGAGAGTAAGACTTGGTTTAGCAGTGGCCAGCGTATGTTCAGAGGGGGACAGGCAGTTCAAGTGACACTTGGGAGTCATGATGAGTACTAACCTTGACTTGCCAGCTCAAAGGTCCACGGCGAAGGAGGCCATGACCAGGCTGGGTTGGCATCATTTCTTGTACTTCTGACAAATCTTAATTCATACAAAGACCATGCCTGTCATTTTCAGTGACACGTTTATTGCTTTGAGGCAGGGTTCTTGCTACACAACAAAGTGGCCTGGATCTCAGAAATCTGCCCCAGCCACTGCAGTAAGCTTTTAATTGGCATCCAGTTCTGAGATCGAGAAGGGAGGACATGTTTGCCCAAGCCTGTAGTTGGTCGGGTATCGAGCTGCAACAGGAGTGTAGGTTAATGTGGGCTGAATTGCGTTCTAAAGCCTCTCGCTGCTGTTCTGAGATACACAATGTGTAGCTATAAGCTGGTGAGTAGAGTACCACCCAGAAATCACAGAATCGTGAAAACAGGCTGGTCAAAAGCAGTCTTGGGTCTAAAGAGTTTGCACTTAAGTCCAGCCCTGCCCTTGATTGACCACGTGACCCCCAGCAAGTTGCCTCTACCCCGTGCTTATCTACTTCCCCAAATAGGGGTGGCAATGAAATCACCAATCTTAAATGGTGTTGAGGCCATCAATGAATGTTTATAAGGTGTTTCCCACACTGCCCAGCCTCAACAAAAACGATAAAAGGGGTAGTGACTCAAAACAGGGATTCTGCCGTGAGGCTAGAAGGGAGTCTCCACAGCCAAGAACAAACATGGCTGTAAAGTCTGAGTACTTCCCACACAGCCACACTTCTGTGCCCGTGCGTACTAGGAGCTGAGCTCCCCACGCTTGAGAGTCCCTGAGCGGAGGGAAGCAGGGACCCGGGGTGAAGAGGAAGCATGGGAGAACAGCCTCTAACCTTGCACGGTATATCCCAGGGCACTTGCCAGCTCCCAGCCCGTGTTTCCCCGGGCTCCAAACTGCAGGATCTCTAGGGAGAGGGACACACTGGCAGGTGAGATGACAAAGTTGGTCCCGTTTCTCTGTGCTGCTGCACTCCGGTAGAGGTGAAGGGCAAACTCGGTCTTCAGCAACCACAGGCCTTCACTGAGGGGGCTGCCTCCTCCTGCTGAGAAGCAGGAGGAGAGAGGGAAGAGGGTGACCAGCAGGAGAGGCAGCATGGAGGCAGGACACCTGCAGTTCAGAGGGAGAAGCAGAAGGAGGGATGCTGGTGACAGCGATGGCAACAAGTCACCTGAGAACTGGGGCACCGGCTCTGTTTCCAGTGGCCGGGAATGACCAAGGACGGTCTCATTGCGCTTTCTTGATTACCCACCATGATCCTACCTGTCTAGGCCGCTACACTGGTCTGGGATCCTTTGGAAAACTCAGCGACATGCTTGAAGATCTGCTCCTGTTACTCACTGCAAGTGTGGCCTTGGGAAAGTCCTGATTATATCAAAACACACCACTATGTTGGGAAAAGAAACGCCAAAAGTGCTGCCTATTTCTTGTTTCATGGCACGTAGTCTGTTTATGGCTGTGCCATGTTTATCGTGAGTGGTTATATCACAATCAAAGATTATCTTCTACGCTAACGAGAACGTACATTCTGGGTTAATATTCTAAAAAGCATACTTGCCGTCGCAGCTACAGTCCTGGTGACTGTGCTCTAGAGACTCCTCAGTCGGGAGAGAGTCACGCGGCTGTGACAGACCCCGGCCTTCAAGAGTGCTGCATGAAATAGCAAGAAGGCAGATGTGCATCCAGAGACTGACACACGGGATAACTTGGCCTAGAATACTAGCATCTGTGTAACGCAGACTACTCCACAGGGAGAAACCAATCAAAAGAAAGCCCCCCCCCTCCCCCAGAACAGGAGAGCGTGAGTAAGAAAGTCAGGCCAGAAGAGAGCACGACCGGGGCCTTTCCAAGGCTACACCAGTGCACAGACAGTAGCAGTCTTCACTGAGTGCTGTAACTCTGGGGCCAGAAAGGCTGATGGGAGAGGGAGCACTTCCTACACAAGCTTCCTACACAAGCTTCCTACACAAGCTTCCTATACAAGCTTCCTACACAAGCTTCCTACACAAGCTTCCTATACAAGCTTCCAAGCAAGGCCCTGAGCCCAGTGCTGTTCACTTTAGATGAAGACCCAAGAGAAAAAAAGCCATGTCTTCCAGCCCTTCCTTTCATCGCTGAGCACAAGTACCCACGACCTTGGAACCCAGAGAGTGAAACTTGCATGGGTGTGTGGTATGTGTCTGGAGAAAGTGGACTTTAGTCTAGGGTCATTACCAAAAGCTTTAAGTCCTACCTCGAGAGCTCTTACAGCATTGAGGAACTCACCAAAACACTAGCAACCCTCGGCAAACAGACTTGGATGCCCAGGCTCCAGGTGACCCGAGTCCTGTCGTGGCTACTAGGGATGATCCTCACACTCACCGGCTCTTTGGTTGAATGGTGGTTTCCTTGTTCAGTTCTGCTCTTGGGTCTCGAGCATCAACACGCTGCCCTTTTTAAAGAGTGGTGCAGAATGTGCTCTGAATCACAAGACACCCCAGGGAGGAAGCTGGCGATCGTCGTCTCTGCCGGCGATGTCTCTACCACTCAGTCCAAATTCCTGCCATGTGGAGGCTCTGCCAGGAGAAGCAACTCAGCTCCAGGCAGCAAAACCCAGATGAGAACAGAGTACGCCCTGGGGCCAGAGCCAGCCATGCCCATCAAACCTTCTTAGGCTTGTGACCTGGTTGTACCAGCAAGAAGTCCTTCATCTACCCCTTTATTACTTTGAAGAATTCCACGGTAACTCTGGGGTTTGCTGGGTGCCAGGTACCTAAGGCTTTTCCCCCTCCTCCTGGAAAGAAAACAATAGATTAGTCTTTGAGCATGACCTGAAACTCTGAACGACTGCAATGCTGTAAAGGAGAAGCCAGCAGCGGAGTCTGGTTCAAACAGGATGGAGCAAGATGCCCGGCCTCACCTGTATCACCTGCTGTGTCGTGTGAGCTCTAGGGCAGGCCACGGAGACAGCACAACAAGCCTACTCTAATCATTTGAGAAAGGGAGATCTGGTGGGGGCTCCTTAGCCTGACAAGTACTCGCATCCCTATAATCAGTGGGCAATTCGCTTTAAGGTTTTATGGTAGACACTCAAGCCAAGGGCAATTTAGGTCTTAGGGTAGATACAGTTCTGTAGCTGCTTCATACAAAATCTCTCCAGATCTTGAATTTTGATGTAAATTCACTATTGTGTGCCTCAGACTTTAAGCCACAGTATGACAGGGCAAAGAAATGCTTTTAACTCCTGTTCAGTACCCACAGAAAGCATTCCATCCGTTCACGCATACAAGAGACGGCTCCTGATGGTCGGCTGGTCCAAGGCTCTGGGCCAGGTCAGGGGACTGTAGCGTTGAATCAGCAATCTGAGCTTAACTCCCACGTACTCAGTCTTTCTCTTTGTGGACGTTAGATGTTCACGCTGACAGTGTTAAACAGGGAGCTGCGGTCAACCGCAAACACTTTCTTACAAGACTGTGTGGTCCTTAAAGCTGGACCTAATTTATCAAAAGTTGGCTAATTGCCAATATTAGTATGAATTGCTGCTTGAAAAACAACATCTGAAGCTGGGCGATCTGACTGTGTCATGTCCGCGGATGTGATCTCCTGACTTTATGAATGCACCGTTCTAAATCGCTTTGCAAAACATTTTCATGAAGCAACGGCAGGGAAACTTGACTGCTGGAGATATTTTTCGCATGGATTAAATATTTCGAAGTGAGGAAGAATTAAACATAAATAGCAACTGATTCTTCTTCAGGGTGCTCCACAGAAGCTGATGTCAGCATGGTCTCTGACCATGTAAAGAGAATGCGTATTGGCTTCCAATTTGCCAGGATGGATTGGCAACATTTATCCATAGCCATAGCAACAAGCAAGGTGAGCATCACTGAGTCCACTCTGTGTTCTAGGAACTCTGTTCGACACTTTCCATTCACAGCTGAACATTGTGTGAATCCCCGTGACAAATGCCATGAGGATATGTATTATTCCCATTTCACAGAGGGGAAAACTAAGGCAGAAGAATTCAAGTTTGTGCTGAGGTTTGCACCTAGAACTGGTCGTTTTCACTCTCAGGCTTCTGTTATTTCTCACAGCCTTGGTGATGTGTGTTAAGGGGCTGAGACATTGGCTCTTTGGAGCTCACCATGGGATTCTAAGGTTTTTGTTAATCTACCCAGACTCTATGGGCTACTGATAAACTTCTGCTCTGCTTCCATCTCCCGGGACTGCTGCTCCGGGACTGCACGTCTAGACAGAGCGCAGGGCCTTCAGGGTATGACGCATCCCCTCATCGCAGTCACCTCCCTGAGCCCCCTTCCAGGCCCCTCTCCCTCCCTTTGAGACTCACTGGTTCTCAGCCTGTTCCCCCACTAGGGACTCTCCAGCCAGGACATACAGCTGGAAGATGCAGGCCATTTCCTCTAGTGGGCTCACTAGAGCCCTTGCCAGCTGCCTGGCTGGGACCCTATCATTGTTTTGCCCATCTTGAGGTCCACACTGTTCCAGGGGAAACTTGTGTCGTGCTCCTGGACCGAGCCACTGAGGCATCAGATTATAGTTCAGAAGCAAAGGATCTGAGAAAGAGGCTGCATCTCCCAAACCAGGAAAACAGGTAATCAACATTCCCGACCCTTGTATGATTAGCCTTCTGAAGGCTGTAATCGCTCCTGGGGAGAGAAGAAAGGCAATTTAAACAAAAAAGAAGAAAAAAAAAATGTAACCAACAATCTAACTCCAGGTGTTCAATCCCAACACAGAAAAAAAAATATGAAAAATCAAAAGTAATGGTTCCTATTGAAAAATAACCTGGAAGAACTCTCAGAGAATTAAAAATAATGATTAATAACTATGGTTAAACACTCTAAGACAAAAACAAAGAGAATAAAACAAGAGAGCCAGTCTAAGACAAAAAAAGAGTTTGAATTTTAAGAAAACCGCAAGAAATGATGCTGAAAATGAAACACTCAACAACAGGCCAATTAAAAAAATCTCAACAGAAAACTCAACATGCTGATTAAAAATCTCAGTCGAAAACTTCAGCAACAGAATGACCAAGTCAGAGTCAGAGATGGAAAATAGGATAGGAGAATCTGAACACTAGCGAAGGTCAATGAGGAGCAAAGAAAATATATATTTATGGGCTGGAGAAATACTCAGAGGTCAAGAGCACTGGCTGCTCTTTCAGAGGTCCTGAGTTCAATTCCCACCAACCATATGGTGGCTCACAACCATCTGTAATGAGATTGCTGCCTTCTTCTGGCTTGCAGTCGTGCATACAGGCAGAATACTGTATATATAATAAATGAATAAATCATTAAGAAAATATGAGCGGCACTCGGAAAGGTTTGGGATGCCATGAAAAGATATAAGCTCTGGATTATGCCCATAAAGAAGGAGAAGAATGTCATAGCTAAGACATAAAAAAATGTCTTCAGGAAAATCATAGAAGAAAAAAATTCAAAACCTGGAGATAGAGATGTTTTCTATGTAGAGAACGGCCTTCAGAATGTGAAACAAACCAAGGTCAGTAAAGAAATTCTTCTGGACACTTTACAATTGAACATTAGAAACAGAATAAGGAAAGGTCATTGAAATCTGTAAGAGAGAAAGGTCAAGTTATGTACAAAGCATGCCCAAGAGTAGCATGGGATTTCTTGACAGAAACCTTTAAAGTCAAAAGGGGCTGGAAAGCTGTGTTTCACATCCTGAAAGACCACAGCTGCCACCCGGATCAACATACTCAGCACAACTATCTATTAGAACTGCAGGAGAAATACAACTCTCTATGATAGAAACAAATTAAAGGACTTTATGACCTCCAAGTCATCTCTACAGAGGATATGAGAAGGAATACTTCAATCTGAAGAGAAGAATAAATACACCCAGGAGCCCAAATAATACCAGGACAGCTAATCAAAAGGGAGCCAAGGAAATATCAAAACTGTCAATAAAATGGCACATATTTCAACAATATGTCTGAATATAAATGATTTCAGTCCCCCCAATAAAAAGACACAGGCCAGCAGCTTGGATTAGAAAACAAGGTCTGTCGTTTTGTTGCTTCCAAGGAACAAACCTCACCATCAAGACAGCCATTACTTTATGGTAAAGGTATGGA